CCTATATAAAAAGGCAAATGACTTTTCACACCTGTTGTATTCCCAGTGAAATAAAGTATATTCACCCAAAGCAAAATATAAACCATAATAATAAATTGTGTACATCTCCTGTGACCTTCAGCTTTTAGAATTTATTCTGGAAAAAGAAATCACACCTCATTAATCTTCCAGCTGAATTGCATGATTTCAGCATTCTAGTGCAGTAATTCAGTAATGTAGAAGGAATAGCACAATTTTCTAACAGCAGACAGAAAAAAAGATAAAAAAGGAACCCAGTTTTCAGAAAACATAAAAAACTGAAAAAAGATGAAAATTCTTGTGCTTGCTGCACCAAGACAAAGGTAAGTATGCCTCTTGTGCAAAAAATTCTTTGAGGATCTAGAAGTAAACATTCACCCTGACCACCATGGCCCTACATTGGCTATAGGCCCCAGAAGAGGTGCTTAGCTGCTGCCAAACAGGCTGGATCTCCCAGCTCCTGGACAAGTGCCTAAACTCTCATGCTGAAGACCCGAGTTAAGTATCAGGTAAGTATATTGATAAGTGTACTTACTGAGTTAAATATACTACAGACTCACCCTGGGCCTAGTGCTTCCTAGCAATTGGCTTTCTGCCCTCTTGAAGAGGGCTGCTAGATCATCCTCATGCTGGTGCCCAACCTGCCTATAAAGAAAAGCTGGCATTCCAGTCAAGTTCTCTGAAGAACTCCTTGTACGGTCCTCTCTGCTTGACTCCAAGGAGAAATTCAGCATTTAGGTAGAATCTCTGAATCTCCCTGCCCATCAGATGCCAGAACACAAGTTTCTAACAGCCAAGATAAATGAGAAACTCCCTGAATTCAGCAATAAATGCCAGTATTTGACAAGGGTAGCCCTTATCATACTGCTCTCCTTACATTGTGTCACATACGTGTAAACAATCAGACATACGTGCCTCATTCATCTTGGGTACTAAAAGGACTGCACAAGAAAGCAGGTAGCAAACTGTTTATTTTGAGAAACAGAAATAATTTATTTAGTAGTTTTTGGCAATTTTTAAACGGAAAAGAAGAAATGTCCTGGATCCTCTTCTTTCTGGAAAAAAAGAACAAAAAACATTCATGTTACTGAGGTTGAAAAGGTAGTCTAAGGAAGTATAACATTATCTAAACAGTATACAGGTTTTCCATCTCAGTCACGCAGTCCACAAGGAGTATGTAACTCTCTACTTTGAATATGATTTTAACAAATGCTGGATAATACCCAAATCAATTCACAGCCAAAGGAAAAACTCCCTTAATTTAACTGGTTTATTTAAACTACTTTATTTAAAGGGTATTTAAAGGTTAGAAATTAGTACAGCATGAGGATGGATTCCTGAAATTACTTTTGTGTATCAACTGTAGTCATACAGTCCTATTTAACTCACCAAGTTTACTCATATGAATAAGAAAAGAAAACATTCATCAAACTAAGCCTTAACTTAGCAAGCTAATTATTAAGAATTATTACTTTTATTAAAACAAAAAGACAATACCTTTACCTTTCTTAGGGAATATTCTTTCCAAATCTGAATATAGGTTCCATGCCCATGAAGTCTTCCTAAGGTACAAATTTCTCCATGATCAACAAGGTAAGGTATAGCCTTTTTTGCCCACTCTCTGAAACCACTTGTCCTGTTTAAGAAAAAAATCTTGAAAAGAAAGTCCCTAAAGAAATGAGACAGGAAACCACTGCTGCTAGTAAGTTTTACTGGCCTATACTCTACAAGGATTAGTTGTGATGGGTGAGGTGTAAATAAGCAGTTTGAAAGACTGATAGGTAATGGGTTACCCACAGGGGTAACTGCAATGTAAGGGCAGCAGCAGGTGTTCCCATATTTACAATTTGGATCTTTTTTCCTTGGACGACTGCTGCTTGAAGTGCATATATTTTGGATCTGCAGAATCAATAAATTAGTAATGCACTTTCCTAGTGTATATATAAATTTACAGAACTGAATTCCCTGTATGTAATGAACATTGGTCTTCTAAAATTAGCTGGTATGCTGAAGTTCACTTACCAGCAATGTGAGGCTTAAAGACTTGTAACGCCTGCCCAGGTTATTCAGGAGAGAAAGATACCTACTCCTACTTTGTTGGTATGTTTAAGTCTGTTAGATAAGGTTATTCCAGAAATGGCAACTGTTATGCAGAAGGTGCAGAAGCACCTAAATGAAATCCCTTAAGCTGCTTCTATAGAGGAATATTTCTTCAGTAATGAGCTAACATCTATCATGTGATGGCCATGCAGTATGATGGTAACATCACTGGAAAGAGAGCATATTTATAGTAACTGTACTGTTGAACATCACTAGGAGCATTTCTTCCTGTGCTCAAGAGAGCTCTGTGAGAACACAGAAAACACCTGGAAGGAAATTATAATGCTTGTATTTGTACATAGAGGTGTGTTTCTGTATTACAATGTTGCTTTGTATTATGTTAAGATTTGAGGGAAGGTTAGATCTGAATTTAAAAGAATGTATTCATCAAAATACAATTAATGAAATTCAGCCATGCAGACAGTCATACAAAAGAGATCTGAATAATATTTACTTCTAAATTTAGCACTTACATGAGGAGGTACGTGGAATTTTGGTGAGGTACAGATCTTCTGCATAGGAGAAGTAATGTGCGAAAATAAATGTTTTAATGTTTTCCAAAGGAAAAAAAAAACCAGTTTGGGGCAATTCAAAAATTACCCTCTTGAGATGGAACCCCAAAGCAACTACACAAGCACCCAGACACTATGATAATATGGACTAGAGTAATACCTAAAGTAAACTGCAAGAACATGTAAATGCCAAAGTGAAATGAATTATGAAAATCCAGTGAAACTGATGATACATAAACAAGGTGGCTTCTTATGTCAAGCGCAAAATACAAACACAGGAAGCAACAGGAAACAGCAGGTTTGTTCTATTGCATTATTGTTATTTAATGGCTAGAAATGAAAAAGATGGCTTGTATTAAGTACCTCTTGGCATAAACACAGCACCTGGAAAACTTCATATTGAAAAAGAAGAAAAATGCCAATAGTTAGCTCATTAGGTAATAATCTTATTTTAATAACATAGTACTTAGGAGGCAGACATGGCTGGTCTATTGCTTTTTGGAAAACTGGTTCCTCCATGTGTAGAGAAATTGGGTTTTGTAAAGTATCAGAACTGTTTTGATCTATCACAACAGAGCCAGGAGAATCAGCCCCCCAAGGCTCCCAGGGGGCTCTGACAGTTCCAGTGTGGAGGTCTCCTGCCCTCCTGAACAGATCATGGATCCCACAGAAGATAAGGTACCTCAACCTCAAAATGCTGAAATAATTACTTCAGCATACAACTAAAATGCTCCAGAAATAGCCACTGAGCTCTAAGCTGCAAAAAACACACCACGCATCTCAGCACCTGGCTCCATCACTGCTCTGTCTCTGCAAGACAAGACATGGTGCCAGTAAAGAAAAGTACGAATCCCCAAACCTTGCTATCATAATGAACTGCTGTCTTTTCCACTTCAAATGCAAGAGTATAATACATGCCTGGGACAAAATCCCTGATGATGTAAATATCTGCACTGATTTCAGTGTTTTTCTTAGAATAAATCCTGTATTGTGAAACAAAGGGAACCTCTACAAGAATCATGCCAGTCTACTGCAAAATTATTCGGCTTTTGTAATTAAACGTGTATACCTACTGAAGGAGCCCATTGCAGTAATTTTTAATACTGACAGAACCCAAGGAACTCAGTGATGATGCAGATTCTTCCTGAAGAGTTTTACAGCTCTAAGAAACAATACAAGCTGAGATTTCTTCTAGATCATGGTTGTATAATTTCCATCTAGTTTAGGGAGAATAAAAGCCTCAAATACTTCAGGGTAGCTTTGAAAAACAGTCTTGACCTTACTCTTCCTTATTCACAAGGTTTCCTCTTGACAAAGGTGAATGAATTAAGTAGTTCTTAAGCAAAAATATTTTTTACCATCTGTTCAAATTGTTGAAGGTCTCTGAAAGCATGTAGTAAGCTAAATCTCATGCACATTTTGGACCTCTTCACATACATGACACTTGAGAAGATGAAGGGCTTAGTAGTGCAAACAAGGTCATTAAAGTCCATATGAAAACAAGATGATGTATATGTGTCAATGAAGTTTGAGAAATGGAATTCATGAGAGAAAAATACCTGTAGCCACTAGGAACTGCAGTGGAATGATTACACATGTGAGACTCATGCATTTGCTCAAGAATACCTTTCTATTAACAGTTAGCTGTGTAACTGCAAATCTTTAAATGATCAAAACTCATGGAGAGCCAGCTCACATATCTTATTCACACCTCATGTTTGTGTGTGTGTGAACTGCCCTTACCCTTTGGGAAAAATTCCATCAGCAGTGCAAACAGCCAGCAGTTGAACTGCAGCCAGCCTGTGGTTGCTTGTATGATTTCAGTTCTTTTTAAAAATACATGATTAGAAAGCACTTAAACCCAAGTGGTACTGAGACACTCCTTAAATTCTCTTTTCACTGCTAAGACCACTTCAGAACCAATTTCTGCACTGGTGTCATCAGGTACATAAAACAATCTGGCCCTACACTCTTAGCACTAACAATAATCACTTGGATAAACGTCATCTTCACTTTCTTACTATATGTGGCTTTAAGTTCAGTTAAAGAGAAAAAATAGAAAATAAGATCAAAAGCCATCTATCAGATAAGTCACCTAAGAAAGCGTATATAAATATCCTGCTCACAGCTTGAAACAGAAACACAAATAAGAAAAGTTGACCAGAAATACAAAATAAAACTCCATCTCATAATACAGAAATCCTCAACATATACTATTTCAAACATACTGTAGGGTGAAATGCATAAAAAGACATTGAACTCACTCATATACTGTATTACACAGTGAAGTAAGCATTGCTTATGCAAATGATTACAAATCAGGAAATAAAACATAAAAACTTGAACTGACCCTTCAGTCATTTAACTTACTGTCTCCTTCCATTACTTCCTCATGAGAATTTTCTAGCAGAAGGGTGGCAGAGGGCTGAGCTATGTAACTGCTAAGAGACATAGAAATACAGTATTTATGAGCAACTTTTTGGTATTTTGTAGTCACTGTTTTATAAACCTAGCAATAAAATCAATGCCAAAGCCTGGCTTTTGACTAAAGTATAAAAATCCAACTGGATGACTGTTTTGCTTTGATTTAATAAAGTATTGGTATTTAACAACTTCTGAGGGAAAAGCAAACATGACTGCAATATGGAAAGAATAACTCACTGTGAATAGAAAGCACGAGGCACTATACAAGAGGGATGTGACTTAGCAATCCCTGTAAGTGACCACATCAGTCCTACAGCTTTTGAAAGTTTGGAAACCAAAATATTTCAGTACTGTGAAGATAACACATAACAGAAATAGCAACGTATTCTCCTTTGGGGCCCACCACTCTCTGGTCCCTTAAACACAGAACCTCCCACAGACATTACTGATAGCGTTGCTTCTGAACACAGCACAACACTGAACTGGAATATTTAAACCATTTGCTTACTAAAAACATTAAACAATACAAACAAAGTTGGACATCACGAAAGCCAAGTATCTCTTCATCTACTGGATTGTAGCACAGTGTCTTGCAAGTTCAGCAAATGCCATGAGACGCTTCGCCACAAAAGGCTGCCACTCGCTGCTGGTAGCATCGTTGCTGGTCACAGGGGACAGAATACAGCACTTGCTGACCCAGCAGCATCCTACCTGTGGCTGTGGTTTGTGTGTAATAGTTCCATGGTAAAAACCAGGATAGTAGAGGAAAGGATGAAAAACACATGGAACATCAAACAGACCCACTTCAAACTGGTAATGAATGTTGCAGTCTAATAATCCTCATTCTGTGCATTTTAGAAAGGAAGTGAAAGTGTATTAAAGGACTAACCACTTTTTATCTAGATCCATACTTCTCCAGACTGACCATGCCTTGACAGGAGATACTGAAACATCATAACTAAAAACAATTGCTGAACACCAACACGGACTATAGCTGGACTAGAGCTACCTATCTCGGAGCCTTACCTACTAGCATTTAATTAAAGTTTGGTGTTTTACCATTTTTTTTCACTAAATATTAGCCTAAGGGTAGTCTGCTTCATCAAGGAAACACTTTAAATACTTTATTTAAAAATAACTAAATAGATAACTAACTAACTAAATAAAAAGAACCCCAAAACCTTTATTGTGGGAAAGAAAACAATCTAGCAGGCTCCAACACAGCTAAAATGGAAGGACACAAGTGACAACCTATACTTACAGGCTTACAATTTGCTTCTCCACCAGCCAGTACCTGGTATTGTCACCTATTCCTGCACTGGGACAGTGCAGTACTACCAAATCTGAACTCTCCATTCATATTGGTTGTATTTTACTTCTAGTTTGCACAAGAATAACTAACTGTTCAAGCTGCTAGCGAATGAAAAGTCAGGCTTCTGGATCTTCAGGTATGAGAAAACAAACTTCTAACGAGTCAGATACAAGCATGGACCTTTGCAAAGCACTGCATATACATTTGCATGAGTGCTGCAGCAGATGCCTAAGGATATATAGGGTGTGATAGGGGTCATGTCACTGTTCTGATAGGAATTCAAACACACTGGTATCCATGTTTAAATAAAAAATTTAACTTCTAACTTTAAAGCGGTAATTTCCAAACAAAAACAGAGCAAACTGAAGTAAGTTCCCTTGGGACTACCAACTGTGTGCACTGTTATTCTCAACAAGGACTTTACTACAGGAGAGGTTTCCTTTAGCCTATGCTGCCTTCTGTAGGCACCTTCACCAGGGCTGAGAGCCCCGTGACTCCAGAAAACCAATTATACTTAAATACAGATCCATCCACTGGGTCAGAGAAACATGCCTCCAAAACTTTCCTTATTAGCCTCAATGTCAATGTACACTGGCCCCTAAATACAGGATGTCCTGGTTTTATATGAAATCTGTCTATTGGTGAGTTTTAGAAAGGGAAACAATATTCATTCTTCTCTTGTGGGTGCTCATGTGGGCTTTCTTTGTGTGGGGTAGCTAACTATTGCTCCTAAATGACTTTATGATGATCTCATGCCCAGTATAAATACGGGACATGGATTTATTTTAATTAACTTTCTAGAGGCATCCTTTCTGGAATCACACTGGTTTGCTTGAAAAACATTAAAGGAGAATTGGGTGACTCACAAATTAATAATGTAGGAGGTTAGCTGAGTGACTTTCTTTTCTCTTACAAACAAAGTTTAGGAAGTGCAAAAAAAGGCTGTATGCATTTCTTTGCGGAGGGGCCAATGCAAGAATCGTATCTTACTTCAGCCATCAGAGTGAAGTCCTGTTGCCATTGAAATCAACAGTCAAACTCTTACTGACTCCTTTGCAGTTTGAATTTTAATTCTCAGGAGCACATCCTAGTGATGTGTATGCCCTACACCTTCCCTCTGCAGAGAGCTCAATTTCACCCAAAATGCACTGCCATCTCATAGTGAAGTTTGGAAAAAAAATTTTATCTCCCAATAAATTTTGGTTATGTTACAGATTCATTTATAGGGCAAAAGTGAACCAAGGATGGTTTTTTTTTCTTTTTTTTTTCCACATTGAGTCAGGCTGGAAGGATACTGTAAGCATCCTGGTCTGCGTAACAAGCAGCGTGACCAGCAGGTCGAGGGAGGTGATTCTGCCCCTCTGCTCTGCTCTGGGGAGACCCCACCTGCAGTACGGCATTCAGCTCTGGGGTCCCCAACATAAGAAGGACTGTTGGAGCTAGTCCAGAGGAGGGCCACAAAAAGGATGAGAGGGCTGGAGCATCTCCCCTATGAGGACAGGCTGAGAGAGTTGGGGTTGTTCAGCCTGGAGAAGAGAAGGCTCCAGGGAGACCTTACAGCAGCCTTCCAGTACTTAAAGGGGGCCTACAGGAAAGATGGGGAGGGACGCTTTAACCAAGAGTGTAGTGATAGGATGAGGGGTAGTAGTTTTAAACTGAAAGAGGGTAGATTTAGATTAAGTATTAGGAAGAAGTTCTTTACTGTGAGGGTGGTGAGACACTGGAACAGGTTGCCCAGAGAAGCTGTGGATGCCCCATCCCTGCAAGTGTCCAAGGCCAGGTTGGATGAAGCTTTGAGCAACCTGGTCTAGTGGAAGGTGTCCCTGCCCATGGCAGGGGGGCTGGAACTAGATGATCTTTAAGGTCCCTTCCAACCCAAACCATTCTATGATTCTATGGTGCACGTAATAGAAGAAAAGCGCAATACCTAATTTAAAGCCTTTTGTAACATATTAAGTTCAGCTTTATTTTTTCAGATTTATTCAGAAAATCAGCATAGTATCCGCTAAACAACCAGCTCTTGCCTTTTATGCTACTAAAACAGAAATTTGTAATTTAATTTCTCCAAAGTGATGTAAAGATCAGAACACTCCAATACGAGGACAAACAAATCACTTACGTGGATAGCAAATGCATTAACCTAAACAACGACTTTGCCCGTGGCACTAAAACAACATAATTAACTAAATAACTTTATCTTCACCCACAGGCAAACTACAGCGTACAATATATTATACTACAGACGTAATGATTTTTAAGGTTGCTAATTATCATCTTTTAAATAAACAACACACTCATTCTTTGTCCTGTGTTGTGGGGCTGAACTCTGCTTTCATACATGCTCCACTGCAGCCTCTGACCCCAGAAGGCTTAGCACGGACGCCCAGCCCTCCTGGGACAGGGTGCCTTCTGCACACCCCCAGGGCAGGACGCCCACGCCGCTCGGCCAAACAGCTCTCACTACACTTGCACTGGACTGTACAGTTGCTCTTGACTACGCTTTAAGCTACGCTTGATCCCACACACGCAAACTCAAAGGTAGATCAGAGAAGTACATAGGCTTTTATCTCTTCTATGCACTAACCATGGAGGCTCTTCCAAACCAGAGCAAAAAGTTTTGCGAGAAACCACTGCTTTTTGATCACTACACTTTTAAGTCTCAAGTGCACACACCACTGTTTCAAGAGCTTTACCAACACTGATTAAATAAGATGGGATAGACCCCGGAAAAGGGGGTTGTTGTCAGTTTAGTGGCATGATGATAGCTTTCCATGGCTTGCACTGGATATCATAAACGGGAGTAGGAATAATGGTAAGTGTCAGTTTTTATTTCCTATTCTGAAGAAATAACTGATGCACACAAGGGCTCAAAAGCAAAGTTTGGGAACGTATTTTGATATTCACAGCCAAAGGGGCAGCAGGAACCTTACTCAACTTTGTCAGCAAAGTTTGCGCTTTTCTTACCTAATATTTAAATTGCACACAGGGAGCAGTATCCAAAGCAAGCAAACAAAGATAGATTTTTGAAAGATCAATGGCAGTGCATGGGTGAAACATAACACAAACTGCAGAATCAGGAATAGGTATGTATCCAGCTGGACTATTGTTATTACCACCCTCAGTGTCTCCGGACAAGCCTGACTTAGTAAAGAAGTCAGTTTTGTAACAGAGTAACACCTGATTCAGGTGACTTTAAAATGAGTTTTGCTCTTGAACTCTGTGGAAGCAGAACTGAATCCACTAATCCTGAGCTCTTCAACTCCACTCCAAACAGGAATCTATTTAGTTTCATCAGACCCTTACAGTGTTTGTATTACATTCCCTTGTATCCTTAATTTTTTCCTTTTTCTCATATTATTTTTCTAACTGCAGACCATCTGAACAAACACATGACACCATATGACAGAAGAGGGTTGTCCCACATTTTTCCAAAGATGTAAGGGTGTTTTCTGTGTTGTCTTGGAAGCTTTGCCCTGGCAGGACACAGTAGGTTACTGCCCTATAGCTTACTGGGTCAAATGAGCATACACGGTTTGTAAGTAGACACAAATGATACTGCTTTTGATGCTTCTGAAAACCAAATTTGGAACACAACCATCAGCCTGGAGAATAGTCTTCCACAGCATAAAATAAACTCAAATGCAGAAATTCAGTAGACCCCCTCTCTTCCACATACTTGTGTGGACCACAGTTTAGACTTGCAGAAGGACGTCCACTGTATTAATTTGAGTCTCTTAGACTTGAGGCTTCCTCCGCAATCTGCAGTCTCAGAGGATTTGTTCACACAGAACAAGTTACTGCTGTCTGCACAAGCAGTGAGTCATCAAAGGACTTCTGCTGGAAAACTTGAACAATGTAGAGGAACACACATGAAGGGGCACGACCTTTCCTGCCCCCAAGGTTATCTTTAGGCATGCTGAGGTTCAAACCCGTACATCTCAAACAGTATGAAGGCACATACGTAGGTATGCAGTCTCGTGAGCTTCTGCAGGATTGCCTTTTTACTAGTTCACTTCTCTACAAACCAGATAGAGGAAGGGATCCCCAAGCTTTTGCATTCTACAGAGGATCACCAAAGGTGACCTTGAATCCTGCCTTTCAGTTGCTATGAAGAGACAGTTTTCAGATGTTTAGCAAGCTCAGCATGCCCTGAAAATACGGTCTCTTTGAGATGCTTCTAGATGACCATCCAAAAAATGAGGCTCTTATCACTAACTGGCTGCAGATCTTGAGCTATATAACTATGTTTAAAAACTGAGGTAGACTGAAAAAGTTTTAACTATAATTAAGAAAAATCTCAAGACTCCATTTGCAAGTGGCTATTCTTCTAGGTAATTTAACTTTATCTCATAATGAAAATGAGTATTAAGGATACGTAAGTGTTGGAAGTCAATCCCAAGGCAGCCTGTAAAGCAAGATCCTGATGCTGGTATGTTTAGACTGATTGAATACAGCCAATTGCCACTAACCTCACAACCTACGGACTGCCAGGTCAGTCCTGTATATTAAAGCGCTAATAATTTCACATGGAGCTTCAGGGAACCTTAAAAGCAGTCACGCACTGGCAGCTACAGTCATCAGGCCTATATTTCAGAAAGTAAAACCATGTTTACATATCTGCTAATGGCCTAAAAGGCGTCATAACAGTTTACTGGGTCAGTAATTTTCAAGGTTCATCAAAACCTGACGTTCCTAGACTGGAAAGACTGTGCACTGGCGGTGACGGGCAATCAAACCAGGCTTTTTAAACTGTTACCGGCTGTATGCAAGATGTAGGCCCTCAACAGAAACAGACGTCAGTGACTTCCGCTGTCACGATATGGCAAAGCAGAGCGCGCATGTGTCTCCATATGTCGTATCAGTCTCCACGAAAGCATCTGCCTCTCCCTAGCAGGCCAGTTAAACGCTCACGTTGTCGATGCCTGAGCTGACGTCAGGAAAAATGCTCGAAGTCAGCCAGGGTCCAGCTCAGGACCTGTCCAGCATCCACCTCGAGGAGGATAAAACCGCACCCCGCGTCTCCCGCACTAGCCCTCAGCCGCTGCAGGGCAGCGGACACCTCCCCGC